CTCCGGCTCCTAGCCTCGACTACTGTTGCCGAGGCGGCCTCGCGTTGGCGATAAAATTTACATACACACAAAAGCACACATGTTTTGAGAGAGAGCGAGAGAGAGAGAGAGAGAGAGAGAGAGAGAGACAGAGACGGATACGGAGACAGAGACCGAGACGGAGACAGAGAGAGAGAGAGAGAGCACGCACAAAAACATTGCGGCCGGATCTTCTGGAGCCGATGTTGGAACTTTGTTGCAACAGCAGCAAGGTTTTCCCAACCGCGGTTCTGTGGCCTGCATTCTAAGGACATTGTCTGCAAAGGAGGCCACCTGTGTACCGAGGTTGCTGCGTGGACGTAGATGAAGAAAGCCATGGATGAAGGGCTAGCCTAGCGGAGGCTTCAAGGAATTCCGGGCTTCTCAGTTTGCATAGCTGCAGGATGTTCAGGGCCTTCAGCGGCATCATGAGCTTCAGAAGCCACAACCGTTTGTTGTTCCCGCGGCTCCATCTAGTCCTGAGCCTAAACTCCGAACCTGCTCAGCCCTTCAAACTCTGGATCGAAAACTCGCTGCACCCTTGAGCTTGAAACCCTCAGCTTAATATGAACGTCTGGAGTTCGAGATTTGAGGTTATGCACGACTGAAGACGTGTTTCTCCTTGAAAGAGCCCGAGGCCTTTCCGGTAGGTGGTTTTCTTTCTGCTTGATGATTGTCATGTTGTTTCGACTGGCGGGACGACGGCGAAGACACCTGCATGCCCCCGCAAGCTCTCTAAGCTACACCCCCTGGACCGACTCCAAGCCATCGAGCTCCAAAGTCCTGAACCCCGAAACCGTCCAAACCCAAAGTCGCTTCTGGCCTGGGTCGCGAATGGCTGCTGCACGGAGGGCGACCTCCCGCAGTAATCCCACGTGACTGCATGTTGCAACTTTCAGATGCTTTGCGATGTCACTAGCGACATCAAACTTCCTAAATTCTGGATCAAGCCCTCAGTTGCTACTGCGGCGAAACAGGCGATTTCGATGTGATGTACCGTAGGATCCCGAACATTCAGCCTATCTGGATCTGCGAATAGATTATGCCGGATGGTACTGGTACCAGCAGAGAGTTTGGAGTAGTTGGACCATGCAAGCTGGCTTTCTGAAGCGTCAGCAATACAGAACCCACGAGAAGATCCTCGGAACCCGTCAGATCAACAAGGGCGCGGGAGCCGCTCCCGGAGCTTGGGGCTCCATTCCTGATGGCGTACTGTCAGCCCCAGACGTCGCGAGCTTGCTACACGTAGCCAACTTGTTGAGAACGTCAAGTTACGCTACCGGCATTCCCTTGTCAAACTCTTCGGCGCCGGGGCGCAAGCACTCCTCCGATGAACCGCCGACAAGCCGGTTCACAAACGGGGTCCTTGCAAGCGGAAGCTCCCGAATCCCAAAAAACCCCAAGCCCTAAACCCTAAACTCCTGAAATCTCTGAATGCCCCCACGCCCATCTTAGCCTTGACCCCTCTCAGGGCCCCGACCCCAAGGCCGGCGCTGTAGATGTCCAAGAGCGCGTAGAAGGGGCCCTTCTGATTCGAGACCTGGCTACTGGGGGCTATCGTCTTTATCCTTCGGATTCGAGACCTGTTGGCGGGGTTAGGGAAAACGTTTCGGGCGCTTCTCGGGGCTCTCAGGCTGCCTCGAAGAAATCTTGGAGGACTCTGAGGCCAAAGGCCTCAACCGACCTCCAACTCGAAACACGAACCCAACAGCCCTTCTACAATACACGACCATATCCGAAATATGTAAGCCCTGCAAGAGGCAAGCTTCATTCTCAATCACCCAAGCCCGGGATGAAGCCCAAGACACTGGAGAGCAGGTAACCCGATTCGGCTCCAGGCTCAGGTCTGTACTGGCAGGATGAGCTGTTCTGAAGTCCCATGTCGGATCGAGCAATGGCACCGTTAGACTCCCACATTGCCCCAAATCTTGAACCTTTACCTGCGAAACCCTACAGCCCTGAAACCTCAGAGCCCCAAAATCCCTCTCAGCCTGCATGGTTTGCACAGCTTTTTGCTCGCCATTCACTGACACCTCGTGTGCAAGGCCGATGCAGCATTTAGGGGTCTGCGTCTTTTTGAGCTTCTGTGGGACTTTCCAACATTGTTGATGAGCATGGGGTCTTGCGTCCTACAAGCAATGGTTCGCCTTCAGAGGGCTCGCACGTTGGGGCGCCGGTAAGGGGGCAATGCATGCGCTTGATGGAGGAGACCAGTTGGGATTTTTCTGTTTGCACACTACATATCGGGTCCATCACGACGCACAGTTCCTTTCCTCCTTGGAGCCCGACCCATGGGTCTGAAGCGGGTCTCCAAGCCCTTCTACGGAAGTTTCGAGCGGTCACAATACTCGACATGCCTCCAAATAAAATTCCGGGCTCGAACACAACTTTGCCTTCGAAACCTTGCAGTGACTCTTGGACCAAGCTGGGCTCCAAACACAAAAACACTAGGCTGGCGCGGGATTCAAGACGCCCCTCTTTTCCCTGTGAGTGTCTACAAAGTCCTGATTTTCTTGTGTTTCCCACCTTACTGGGGGTCCTTAGACACTCCACACGGGTTCTGCTACAAGAAAGCCTTCCTGTTCCTTTTTCTTACAATCCTACGAAATTGCCTTTTGCTCAACTCCTAACCACAGCCGAATACTTAAGACGTCCATGGGCGGTTGGCACATTTCAACAGAATGACTCGGCACTTAAGACTTACCCAACACACCTGCCGGGCGCGGGGCCTACTGTACGGATTTCAGCCTAACCAACTGATCTTATTTTAGACACCCGATTCCGGAAAAAACTTGCCCTTAAACACCAGAAACCTCGGTGTTTTTGATTAAAATCAAGGTACGTCTTGAATCCCGCGCCCGGCAAACACTATACAATAGAATCCAAACTCGAGCTTTGAAGCCAAACCCCCAACTCTTGAAGCCATTGCCCAATACCCACAACCTCCCCCTTCCGGCCTTCAAACGACGAGAAGAGTCCAGCACAACATCGACGACATCGTTTGCCTCACGGGCGTCTGGAAGTTGTTTTGAAGGTTTCGGGACATAGAGGGTGAGCGACCTTGCACTTCAAAATGGCACATGCAACATTTAGGACTAAACACATTCGTCTGTTTTGGGTGTGACATTACTGCGGCTTTCTCCGCCTTCTACTTGTCCCACCCAATTTCAAGTCTGAGCGCGTGGGTTTAGACTGTACGCGTGCCTTCGTGCCTTAGTTTAGGTCAACCGAAAGAGCCGCCCATTTACGATTAGTTCTTTGTGGAATAAACGTTGGTCTACATTCGAGCTGCTCAAGATTTCGGGAGTATGATTTGAGGCCCCACACCGAAGCCCAAACCCCCCCAAACCCTGACTAAAGCCCTCGACCCCATAGAACAACCACCCTAGAATCAGAAAGAAGTGGCGAAGCCCAAGCCGAGCCTGCAACTCTTACATCTCCAAAACCCCGAACCCTACTTGCACCACACGCTGCACCCCCCAGCCCTGAATCCCTCGACGTCACAACCCGAAGCGCTGTCGCTACACTGCTACACCTCAAAAACCCTCAAGCCTCAGCGCCAAAAAAAAAGAGGAACCACCCAAACCCCCAAGCACCAAAATCCCCAACTCCGACTCCTTCCCCTACAGAGACCCCAGAAGAAAAGCCACCAGTGGAATCTTCCCAAAGCTACCGCGCTCGGGGGCTCCGCCAAGGCCTTGAGCTCAGAGGGCTGCCACTCGCTGTAGTGCCACTTCATCGCTGAGCCTTCCAAGGGGTTTAGGGTTTAGGGTTTCATGCCTTCTGAGCTTCGTGTAAGGGATGTATGTGGAGTCCGGGCAAAGTCACTGCTCTGCCGCCTCTTACCGCTGCAGATTCCACTGGTGGCTTGGCGCACCCCGCTGCAGCATTTTTTCGGACGTCAAAGCCCAAAAAACTGGTGCCTTGTCCGAGAGGGCCCGAGCTCAGGCGAAACTTGAGCTGCAACTTTTAGGTTTGCGGAAACCAGAAAACAGGTTACAGCTAGTTTTCTTCCACTTGGAGTGTGAGAAAGCACACAGCAGCATGAATTTGGAACCGTGAACTCAGTTCAAACGGACCCAAAGTTCTAAATGTAAACACTGAAAAAGGGGCCTGTGTGGCCAGAAAGCGTTGTCCTTCGAGCCTTCGACTTTCGCCGGACGGACACAAACGAAGAATCATTAAGTTTTCAATCCTAGCGCCGGACCTAGCTTTGCTCACTCGTTCAATCTTCGTAGAGTTGCCACATCGTTTCCAGAATGAGCTGCTCTAGTTGAAGAGCCTGTTTAGGGTCACGCACGGCGTGGATTAGACTGGACAGGGACAACCCAATCGTCGGCACAGGCTTGATGGCAATCTCCACGCGTGGATTTGCCACACACGTGGCCTGAACGGCCTGCACATGGCTTGCCACCAACTTCTCGACCGCCTGACGTGAGAAGCCCAATGTCACCATGATCTCCTTGTTGCCTGCCCAGAGAGATGCGCGGTGAGCTATCTTCTGTGTTTGCGCAACGATGCACAAGCGCACTGTGGGGATAAGAACGTCATGGTTCTTGCTTTGCTTGCCGAGTTCCCCCATGATGGGCTTTGCCTCACGCCAATCTGCGACAAGGAGCATGCTCCCCTTCCTCCCTTCCGCCCATTCGAGAAATCCCATGGACTTCTTGTGATAAACGAACTTACACCCGAACTGGGTTGCAAGATCGGCCAACTCTTTACGTACATGGCGATGCTCAGGCTTCAAGCAGTGCTCGAAACACCAAACGAGCCACACATCGTCTTCACCACCTTGCACAGCACAGGAACGTCGCCCAGCCATGCGAGCCATTCCGCTTGCAATGTCTGTCTTGGACAGCATGCAGAAACGTGATGTATCGTGCGACCTACAACTACAACTCTCGTGAGAGCCACTAGCACAGCAACGGGCAATGACTCTGTCAGAACCTTCAAGCAGAGAGACCGTGAAAGCAGCAGCTAAGCAGCACAACCCGACGATCTGTTGTACACAGGTTGACAAACGCCGCGAAGTGCTCTGAAGCCCCAGCATGCACCTCATGCCCGTGACACCTGCAGATTCCATTGGTGGCTTGGTGCAACCCGCTGCAGCATTTTTTCGGACGTCAAGCCCAAAAAAACGGGTGCCTTGTCCGAGAGGGCCCGAGCTCAGGCGAAACTTGAGCTGCAGCCTCTCAAAAACACTGAAAAAGGGGCCTGTGTGGCCAGAAAGCGTTGTCCTTCGAGCCTTCGACTTTCGCCGGACGGACACAAACGAAGAATCATTAAGTTTTCAATCCTAGCGCCGGACCTAGCTTTGCTCACTCGTTCAATCTTCGTAGAGTTGCCACATCGTTTCCAGAATGAGCTGCTCTAGTTGAAGAGCCTGTTTGGGGTCACGGACGGCGTGGATTAGACTGGACAGGGACAACCCACTCGTCGGCGCGGGCTTGATGGCAATCTCCACACATGGATTTGCCACACACGTGGCCTGAACGGCCTGCACATGGCTTGCCACCAACTTCTCGACCGCCTGACGTGAGAAGCCCAATGTCACCATGATCTACTTGTTGCCTGCCCAGAGAGATGCGCGGTGAGCTATCTTCTGTGTTTGCGCAACGATGCACAAGCGCACTGTGGGGATAAGAACGTCATGGTTCTTGCTTTGCTTGCCGAGTTCCTCCATGATGGGCTTTGCCTCACGCCAATCTGCGACAAGCAGCATGCTCCCCTTCCTCCCCTCCGCCCATTCGAGAAATCCCATGGACTTCTTGTGATAAACGAACTTACACCCGAACTGGGTTGCAAGATCGGCCAACTCTTTACGTACATGGCGATGCTCAGGCTTCAAGCAGTGCTCGAAACACCAAACGAGCCACACATCGTCTTCACCACCTTGCACAGCACAGGAACGTCGCCCAGCCATGCGAGCCATTCCGCTTGCAATGTCTGTCTTGGACAGCATGCAGAAACGTGATGTATCGTGCGACCTACAACTACAACTCTCGTGAGAGCCACCAGCACAGCAACGGGCAATGACTCCGTCAGAACCTTCAAGCATAGAGACCGTGAACAGATTCTGCATTGTGAGGCTGAACAAACTCCTGCGAACCACGCTCAGAGGCCCAAACGTGTGCCTTCGGATGCAGCACCATCTCTGCACAGAAAGTATAACTGGGACGCTTCTAAGTTCAAGGCAGAGCAGACCCCCTCAGTTTCTGAAAGCCTGCGAAAGCATAGGATCTAGGCCTTTGGAGCCTACAGAGACCTGAGAGACTCCAGATTGCTCAGCCCCCGCACCGTCCCAGCCGGCACCATCGAAGCCCAACATGTAGGATGGATCCACCTTGCCAGAGGTTTGCCGATTTGGGCTTCATTTCTGCATGGAGAATAAACCCAACCCCTCCACAGAAACCCGAAAGAAGGGCTGTCATGCGGCTCGCGCTGATGCACCTGCATCCAAGACGAGAGCCCACTCAAAGCCCCGAGCTCTAAGCAAACCAATCCTACATGAAGCGGGCTCTGAGCACATGTGCCACGGAAGCACTGTAACTTCAGCTCGTTCTATCTGACTGGTTTTTCGTATGACAGAAAGGAGCTGATGCAGTGGACTGCCGCTTGAGCATGTAATGCAGTGCAACGCTCTGGCAGGTCTCGGGGCAGAGGGTCTCGTATCTTGCAGCACGAAGCCGCCCCTGAACCGTCTACAGTGCACGTACATTAACAGAAGCCGGTCTTTCATCCGGGTCTGTTTGACAGCATGCCCCAAACCCTCAACCCTCTGCAGCAACACAACGGGAATCTCGCCAGGCATCTCGCAGGTCCGACCAACGACCAAACCCAAGCTGTTGAAAATGTAGAAGATTCATCCCGTTTCGCAAAACCTGGACTGTCTTGGTTGCCCACGTCAATAGATGCGAACAGCTGAACATCATGAACATCCACTTATGGATGCAATGATACTGAAGTCTTCCTGCTCACAGCTTCCTTCACGAAGCTCCAGAGTAGGAGCTGATCTAAAGCAGGGGTACCCCTATTATGGAAATCGGGTATCGAAGCAGGTACCGCACAGGGATCCTCGCCTCGTCTGCAGTGGTGGGAACAGCAGTCAGCTCTGCAGGTGGCCGTGTGGTGATGCCGATGGCCATGCCCTGGCAGAACAATGGATCAAGACGCCATTATCAGCTTCGGGTTGGCGAAGAAAGATGCAGCTGGAGGCTTGAAGCCTCCCTAAGAGCCATACGGGCCGCGGCGCGGTGAGTTTCCGTAACCGTGAAAGGATGAGGAGTAGTCGTTATGTCTTTAATGTTTGGATGGTGCCGTCCCACTCCCGTGCCTGGATCCAGGCCTTCCAGCTGTGCAGAACGGTGATAACTGGAGCCATCGGAGTGGTAGTATCGAGTAAAGTTTAAAGGCACCAAGCAGTATGGAGATCGACCTACCAGTTTCGAACCGGCGACCTGACCATGTCGTGCCCAGCTCGAACCGAAGCTATCCCATGTGTACCTCCGCCCTTGCAGCTTTCCAAGTATACCGAAACCCTAGATCACAAATCTCAGAAGTGGTCGCAAGTAGGATGTTCATCGCTGTTGCTACCACATGGGCACCGTGCAGGGCCAGCTTACGCACAGAACCCGTGCATGCGTATCGATATACCAGATCACCGCCCGACTCGCGTGCGAGGAATCAGTGCTTCATGACGTCGTCAGATCTGCTGGTGCTTCTGGGCTGCCCAAAGGAGCAGGATCTGTTCTGCGTGTTTTAACACGTGTGCAATGCGACAAATACCTCATGGAACAGTATCAAGATAAGGTAGAAGACTTCGGATTCCTGAACTAGCTAGAATAACTAGAAGCAGGGAACCTGCGTAGGTGCTCTTCAGCAGGATCGCTAGCCGCTAGCACAGAAGCTCCATAGACATGTACCAACCAATCAGGCCGCACGGAGGGTTGCCTCAGCGCACGCTCCCGGAAGTGGCTTGTTTCTTGCTGCTTACAGAAGCCTCGAACTCCAAACAGAACCCGCCCTAAACCCTAAACCCTCCGAGATTTTGGCGAGTGGGCCTCGGTCTCACCCGCGTCTGCTGGGGTCGCGATGGTCAGCGAGTAGCCCACGCTGCCATCCTTCGGCTCCGCATCGCGTTGAGGCTAGAAATAAGATGCATAGCAATCAAGAGAACATCCTCCACTGGAGACTCGTTTCGTATTCATGGTGGTCATGGTTTTCTCTTTATCATCCTCATGCAGCTCTAGCAGAGCATGCCCCAACACATCATGCACAAATCAGGACGTCGTCGTCACATCCGGGCCTTCCCAGCCTCCAGCGGCGCATTGCCCAGCAGGATGCCGCCTATTTGATGGGGAGCGGAGCTGCGATGCAATCTATCCGTAGGATTCAGAGCCTTCGTGAACTCAGCAGGAGAGTGTGAACAAATAACTCGCGTATACTCGAATGGTTTTAGGGGTCAGTGCAGGATGCTTTTGCAGGACTTAGGCCTTGCGGCGGCTGCTTCAGGCTTCAAAGCCAAATCTATTGAAGAGCTCTGTTTCCAGAAACTCATCTTGAATCAAGAGGCGTGGAATAAACACCCTCTAGTACCCTTCCTCTAACCCTTCAGAAACACCCCAAAACAGACCCCACACCAGGTCTAAGAGTCGAAGATCTTTCCCTTTTTGAAATGCGGCCCAAAAATCTGCCGAGGCCTTGGAGCGGCGAATGGCCGTGCCGGCGTGCGGCGGCGTGGCCCTCGTCGGAGAGAAGCAAAGCCGGGCCAGCCTGAGCTGTCGCGAGTAGGGACCCCTGTAGACTTTAGGTCCCTTTAGGTGCTCAGGGCTGCGTCTTTTGAATTTAAAACGGAAACCCAAAGCCTCAAGGTACAAAGCGCAGCCCACCCTGCGCGCACGGCGCCTTCTCGAGGTGGAAGCCGGTCATGAAGCCTTCCGGGGCCTCCTTCTCCGCCGCCACCTGGTGGCTGCAAACGGGATCAGCAACATAGGCTTGAGTAGAACTCTGTTTAACATGTGAAGATCGCAGATTCTGCAGACTATGCGCCGCCACAGTAGGCAATATGTTCTAGGGACTCCTAGTCCGGTCCCTTCGGGACCCTTCAGGAGAAGCCCTTGGAGTCTCCTGACTTCGGCAGCGGGCTGTTGAACCCATCCTTTTCCCCTCTTTCATCTTGCCTCTTCCGGCGCGAGTGACGGTGAGGTCGCCTCTCCAAGGTGTAGCATCGGAAAGAGGCGCTTGCACGAATGTAAACAATTACTTCAGGGGAGCCGGAACCCCAGCTCGAAAATCTTGAACCCTTGACTTGCAACTCCAAAAATGCGTTTTGCCTGTGCCAGTTAGACGACGGCTTCTTTGAGCTTGAGACTTCTAGCCCACCCACCCCGAAACGCAATCTCCAGAGCCCGCAACGCTCAGCCGCGAAAGAGCAAGGCTTTCGGGTTCATGCACGGCTCACGAACTGAGCTCTGCAAGGCCAAAATCATAGGTCTAAGTGACTCCAAAAGCCCCATCTACCTTTTTAACAACATCTCCGTCAACAGCAGTCGCATCGATAAGCGATCATTAACTCAGTCACTCAGGGGTTTGATTTATGTGTGGCAGCTCTGGTGCCTTCGGCAGAAGGGAAAGCCGTCGCACGGCACCCAGAAGGTCGACCACCGGGTAAAGGTGTGCCTGACCCCAAGCGATGCTTTTGGAACACTTCATAAACTTCCATCACCTCATGATGCATGCATGATGCGCACGTACATACATACACACCTGGACGTCGACAAAAACATGTTCAGGCATGCGTGCCTGTACTGTAGATGATGTATGTTGGATGCTATTTGTGCACAAGTACAGGTATATGTGCATGTGTATGTACATTACCTTTACATGTATGTGTTCGTGCATATAGGTATCTGTGATTTTCCATGCATGTCTTTATCTCTCTCTGTCCGTGTCTGCCTGTCTGCCTACCTTCCTTCCTTTACATCTGCATGTACACAGGTCACTCAACACATGTCTTCGGATACCTAGGATGATAGAGACGTCCATGTATACCAGTGAACATACTAAAAGATGAGCCAATGAGTTTTGGCCTTCGTGTCGCTCGGGTGATTCTGGTCACGAGTCCTCGTGATAACTCATTCACTAAGCCGAAATGAGTTCCGAAAGGAACGAGCCTGACGCACCTAAAGTCAAGCATCTTGCAAACACTTGTCATGAGCCAATCCAACAAGGAAGAACGCGTGATGCACTTCTGTCTTAAGACATCGAGATCTCTCGATCTTTCGTCCCACCCGACCCACCCAAAGTGGTGAGAGAGGGGGGATGAAGGTCCTGGGTCCAGCACCCGCATGGGTCCGCTGCAACCCTGACCCGGGACGAACCGACATACCCCGTCGTCACCGACGCGAGAAAACACAGAAGTGCGAAGCGTTGGGGAGCCCGCCTAAGTGCATGTGCTGCATGTGTCAGTTTCTGAAGTCTTGAATTGTGTGATGTGTGCTTGAGTCATTGCAGCGTGCTTGAAGATGCGTGCTTGGGGTTGAGTAACAGTAGATCAGGCCACGAGGCTCAAGTGAAGTTGGGTGTCACTGCTGCTTGAAGAACTCAGTGGCACTCAGAAGGAGGACAGCAGCGTAGGAGCGTAAATTCCTCGACTGGTCATTCGGGGTCTCGCGGCACAACGCATTCTGCACAAAGACATCTGGGCAAAATGCGGAGGCTCCACTCAGGGCAGGTGGGATCTCTGCAAACCCCTCCACTTGGCAACACTGCAAATGAGAACTCCCCCTGTGGAGTCCAGTATAACGGAATCCTGCAACCTCTGAAGTGCGGAGAGACCATCGCTCCCTGGTATTGCTTAGGCCTCCGGGGAACACGTGGACTGGGGCAGCTTCGGACCTCGCACCACCTGCAAAGGAGTTGGTCAGGGAATTGAGGCTTTCATAAGGTTTGGGACGGCTTTTTCAAGGTGATATAGGGATTGGTGAGCACCCTATAGGCTGTTGGGAGTCTTACAAGGATTGTCATGCAGGGCTGACTTTGGGTTTGGTGCTGAAGGCGCTTTTAACCCAGGGTTTCTGGCTTCAACGTTGTCGTGTCGATGTTAGTGTGCTAGCAGGTGTGGTATCGAAGCTTTCTTTCAGATCTTTAGGCCTACAGACTCCGATCGGTAAGGTTTTGAAAGCTGTGTTCGAGATCATTTCGATTGTCAAGGCCTGCTGTCATCTTGCACAAACCCTCACACAACTCTGCATATTCATACTCTCGAGCAGATACGCAATCTATCCCTGTCTCGTCGTAGCACACCCCAGGCCCTAGCACTCCCCCCTCCCGAACCATAAAAGCACAAAATCCCGAACCAACTTCTTCTTCTTCTTCGCGCCTGGCAGCCGTTGACGAAGATGCGCAACGTCCCTTGCGGATCGATCAGGGCACCTGGCCGATCGAGGGCTCAAGGGCTGTGTGGCTTTACTGGGACTCTGTTCAATCACCCATTCCTATGATCAGGTATGCTCTCACTCACCAAACTTGACCGCAAGTGCCAGACACCCTACCTCCACACTGCAAGCTTACGATTTTACCCGTGACGAATCCCTCTGCCAGGCACCAACCGCATCGCCGGCAGCGAGGTTGCGGGTGTCCCAGTTGCTGAGAAGCCACTCCTGAGATTCAAAGTCAGCGCAGCATCTGGCTGTGTGCTGTGCTGCGGAATCAGTGCATTTGGGAAACGGGGATCACAAGATCGAACTCCGCTCGATGTACTCAGGAAAAACTGCACATCTCTGAGCCCAATGTTGTTGCCCTGGCTATTACAGCGCCTATGATTCTGCGCTCGGCAGTTGGTGCTTGGGGTGGTAGTGCGCATGGACCACTTCCGAGGATGCAGGCTTGGCTCAAAGGAAGCCCACTTTGCATTCCGGCGATTAAAACAATCCGAAGCTGCCACCATTCAAGCATAAATCCTAAGCCCGAAGCACTAGCCGCTAGTCCTCCACGCTTTGGAGTGTTTGCATTCAACTGCCTGTTCTCGAGGAGACTACAGGCATTGGTCGGTTTCAGCCATGAATAGCTGAGAAACTAGAAAATCACGATAGCAAAACTTTGAACTATCTGAAGTCAACACCTCAACCATCCGAATCGCCCAGCCTAAACCCTCAGCTTGGCATAATCCGGATACTCTGTAACTGGACAGAAATCCCAAGCATGTTTACATACCCCCTGCCTTATCTAAACCCCACTGACAATGCTCTCGAAAACCCATGGCGGGGTGCAGTCTTCCCACCATCCCAGACGGCCCCATCGAAGCCCGCAAGCCACGCATCGCGAAGTGCGTCCTCGAGATGTAAGAGAGAGAGGGGGAGATAGATATATATATATATATATATACATACATACATACATACATACATACATACATACATACATACATATATATATATATACATATATAAATACCTATGTCTCTCTCTTTGTTTATCTATACTCTAGATATATAGACATATATATATATGTATATATATATAGTTTCATTAGTATGGTTTGAGAGTTCACAGGCTGTGAAAGGGGCTGACGAGCCCAAAGTCTTGAGGGCATAAGGCGTGTGGGTTAGGGCCTAGGAATTCAACAAGTAAGGGCTTAGGACTTCTTTGGAGCGTAGCATGAGGAGTGGCACAGACAGTCCTGAGGCCTTTGTGTTCGAATCCCTTCCTTTCAAAGTGATACCAGTACCAAACCATCCAGTGTAAGCCAAGGTATACACTGCTTGGGTACACGGATCTGGCGGTATTTCCCTCTAGCTCTTGTGCCTGCGGCTCCAGTCCAGGCTCTACCACCCCTGACACGAAATATAGCCTTTCTGTAAGGAGACGGGGCTTACCTACCACTCAGGGCTTGCGAGCATGATTGATCCGAGTTAGAACTTTATCTAGCCCACTCAAAGCCTCTCCCAGAGCCAAGTCAAAGCAGGAAGCATCATGCAACAAAATAAGCCCGAATAGCAGATCCAGGAAAGCATCTGGACAGTATGTGGGTGCCAACTTTGCGAACAGCGTGGCAGCGTGAGCACCCAATACGACAAAAGAAATCTCAGGTATCACGTTAGCAGCTCGCGAGAAGCCCTGCTACATAACCTTACCACACCAGGGGCCCAGGAGAGCAACACTCTTCCACCAGTTGCGCAGTCAATTGCCAACTCTGATCGTGTAGCTCTCAGAGCACGCTGTAAACCCTGACAGAACCGCGTTCTTCATGATGCACACCTCACGAACCACTCATCACAACAATCACAACCGTCAACGTAATGAGTGCTTAAACGGCAACACGACTGAACATATGGTGAGCAGGACAAGCACCAACCATCAGAGCGAAGAGTATGATAGCATTATCGCCGCTGCATAAGCGCAGCAATGCTGGCAGTGACCCCAGCAAAACTGGTCGCAGCGAAAGTGAGGAAACTGAAAACAAAAACGTTTATCGACATCCCCATGCCCAAAATAAGCATCAACATCAGCATCAGCATTTGCTACATCAGGGCCATGGTAGGCACGAGCTTAACAACCTTTCTCAGTCTCTGCAACCGATCATGGCAATCAAAGGGCCTGTCAGAAAGAAACACGGGTGCAACGGCAGCAAGCACAAGCATGAACAGAAGCGGTGATGGAGAGCTGCAAAGATAGCCGCAAAGAAACCTTCAACCACAACAACGGAGTCCACGTGTAGAGACTTCAACCGGGTTCGCAAAAGGTTTCCAAGTGACAGCTTTGGCTACCACCCCAAGGGCGAAGTACTCTATTGTTATATCATGGCATACCTATACTGCTGTTATACTACTACTCTGCACCATGTTGCTATCCTACAACTACCCCGTACGACTACAGCATCCTACTGCACGACAGCCCAGGCTCCGAGGTTGCGGGAGGCTCGACGACCTCCTCAGGCCTCCAACCGGTAAAGCTGCAGGCACGTTGTCGGATTTGGGGCTCTAGGGTACTCAGAGTTTGTAGATAAATTTGGGGGGATCAGCAGCACGAATGTAGGTGAAGGGATTGAAGGCGGAAGGAAGTGGTGCGTTGTGCAGCAGTGCAGCACAGACAAGCTGCCTGAGGCTGGGAGTATCCCTCAACAAGCTTTTTTTCACTTCTGTTCAGAGCCTACTGGCCCATCAGCCCGATCCGGGTTCCAAAAGGACCATCTTGCATCAACTCCCTCGTTGGAGACTTCCTCCTTTAGCCCTCGCAACCTGCGGGCGGAAGGCTCGGAGTTCAGTCTCCCCTCCGCGGCCCCCGAACCGAAAAGGACCAGCACTAGGTAAGCAAAGTGTGCCATGGCAGCTGAATAGATGCAGGTGGAGCCACTAAAGACCTCAGCCGAAATGACTGTAGCGCAGTGAAGATGAGATGTGTTGCTTGCCTTGTCGCAAAGGGAGTCTACCAACTTGACACAACATCCATGTAAATAAAGGAAATGAAAGATGACGAACTCTCGCGCTAAAAGCTTTCCTTGCAGCGGGGCCTGTGACTCGTGAAGCCCAGGGCCATCCCGTCGGGCTGATCCGAAAGGACCTGAAATCACGTTTCCGACGGCGTGTCGCGGCTATACCATCCATCAACCCCGAACTCTGGCACTCGTAGTTCTACTCGAGTTGTGCAGATGCTGTTCTAGAAAACACCTGAATTCAGACAGAGTGCAGGTGCGCAGTGCGTCAAGATGCAAAAGGAAAAAGGTCTGGCTTAAACGGTTTTCAGGGGCTCACAAGCTTCGCTGGAGCTGTGGATAGCTGTTCACACTGAGACTGCATCTGCCTTGATGTGCATGACACCCAGCACGGTATTTGGAAGTACATGAAGTCTACGTTCAAGCGAGTATACTAGACAGATAAAGATATACACACATACATATGTACATATATACACATATGTGCATGCGTATGTATATATATATATATATATATATACATGTATACACATACAAATACTTGTTTCTGTCTATTTAGTTATCTGCTTAGATTACAGATAGATAGATAGATAGATAGACAGACAGACAGACAGACAGACAGACCGATAGAACGATAGATCGATAGATCGATACATCGATCGATCGGACAGATAGATAGATAGATAGATAGATAGATAGAACGATCGATCGATCGATCGATCGGCAGGTAGGTAGGCAGGTAGGCAGGTAGGCAGGTAGGCAGGTAGGCAGGTAGGCAGGTAGGCAGGTAGGCAGGTAGGCAGGTAGGCAGGTAGGCAGGTAGGCAGGTAGGCAGGAAGGCAGGCAGGCAGGCAG